CTTACTCCTGTCAGAATGGCTAAAATAAAAAACACCAATGACAGTTTATGCTGGATATAGAGAAAAGGGAACACTCCTCCACTGCTGGTGGGAATGCTGACTCATACAGTCACTTTGAAAATCAGTATGGAGATTCCTCAGGAAAATGGGAATCAGCCTACCACAAGACTCAGCAATTGCACTCTTAGGCATAAACCCAAAGGATGCACATTCATACAACAAGGATGTCCGTTCCACTATGTTCATAGCAGCATTATTTGAAATAGCCAGAACCTGGAAGTAACCTAGATGCCCCTCAACTGAAGAGTGGATAGAGAAAATTTGGTACATTCACACAATGGAGTACTATTCAGTGGAAAAAAAACAATGGAATCTTGAAATTAGCAGGTAAATGGATGGCACTAGAAGAAACCATCCTGAGTGAGGTAACGCAGTCACAAAAAGACAAACATGGTATGTACTCACTCATATATGGACTTTAGACATGAATCAGGGGAGTGCCAGCATACAATCCCACTGCCAGGGAGTCTGGGAAAAAGAACCTTTATCCAGTGACTGATGGAAGCAGAGACAGACACCCACAGCTAAACACTGAACTGAACTCCTGGAATTCAGTGACAGAAAGGGAGGACTGATGAGCAAAGGGGTCAAGACTGGGCTGGTTTAACTCACAGAAACAGTTGATCTGAACAAGGGGGGAGCTCTTGGATCCCAGACTGATGGCTGGGAGAACAGCATGAGGCTGACCCAGACCTCCTGAATGTGGGTGTCAGAGAGGAGGCCTAGGCAATCTATGGGACCTTGGTTAGTACTTATCCCTGGCGTACAAATGGACTTTGGGTGCCCATCCCACAATGAGAGATGCTCTCTCAGCCTGAACTCTTGGGGGGAGGGCCTAGGCCCTGCCCTGGATGAAATGACAGACTCTGGAGATCCCCCATGGAGGGCCTCACCCTCCCTGGGGATCACAGTGGAGATTGGGAGGGGAGCTGGAGGGCCTGGTGGGGGTGTGGGGGAGGAGGGGAGGGAGAGGGAGCTGGGATTGACATGTGAAGAAAGCTTATTTGTAATTTAAATTTTAAAAAAAGAAAATAAAAGAGGATTGTCATTTCAAGGATTTTAGGAGTTGTGAGCCAGAGAAGAGAAGGAATGTTGTCACATCAGTCATACGCCATTCCCTTATCCAGCAGTGCTGACTAAACTCCCGTCCTGTATCAGAAGGGAGTTCTGTGGTGGGTAAAACTCAGGGGCAAAGGATGGCATTGACGATGCATGCGAAGGAAAAGCACTGCTTTCTGTTGAGTCTAAAAAGCAACTTGTAGGTGGAGAGAATGGATGGGACACAAGGAAAAGGAGGCAGGCAGTTTTTGACTGACTTTGGTGACTGTGAGAATGAGTTACATCTCATTTCTATGGAAGCTTCCTCTTCTCCTTTCCTCCCTTCTCCCCTCTTCCCTCCGATTTTTCCTCCCTCTCTCTCTGCCTATCTCCTCTCCCCTCCCCTCTCCCTGCCTGTCTATCTCCTCTCCCCCCACTCTCCCTCCCTGTCTATCTCCTCTCCCCCTCTCTCCCTATCTATCTCCTCTCCCCTCCTCTCTCCCTGCCTGCCTATCTCCTCTCCCCTCTCCCTGCCTGTCTATCTCCTCTCTCCCCCCCTCCCTGCCTGTCACAGCAGGATAACATCCCCCAGCTCTGCCAACAGTCCGTGCCATGTCCCGTCCTTTCTTTCCTCTGAGCTGGGTATGTTACCCCAACTCCTGTCTTGTTACCTTGCGGCTGTGTAACCTCTGCTGCAATCCCAATGCAGCTGGACAAGGTGCGGCTATGTCCTACTAATACATATTTGAGATCTGAACTTCACTGTTTTTAAACTGTCACAAAATACTGTTGTTTTCCTGATTTTTCTAGTCATTTATTTAAACAATGTAAAACTATTTTTTAAGACACAAGCTGTTAGTAGCTGAGCAGTGACATGTTGGGTCTGGCCTCAGCCTGCAGATTGCCAACCCTTGATTTCAGAAACCACTGTTTCCAAAACCGTGTTCCTCCAGGACATGGGCAAATAGTTACAGTAAGTGTTAAACCAAGTTAATCACTGCCTTCTGTTCCCCTCCATGGACCTTCTCAGTCTCTGTAGCTCTCAGGAACAGTATCTGTTCCTACCAGGGATAGTATATCCTAGGCTTCTGTGGCTTCTGTGGCTGACCCAGCTGTGCTTTTTCTTGCTCCTTGTGTGTTTTTAAGACAATCACTCTGCATGCCCAGGTTCTGGGTATGCCTTTGGGGATGCATGGCTTCAGCGATGCCCTTGTTCTAAGCATAGAAGGGATACGGTCAGGTCTTGTTAGCTGGAGATATGGTCAGGTCTTTCTAGCTAGTGATATGGTCAGGTCTTACTAGCCAGGGATATGGTCAGGTCTTGGTAGCCAGGGATATGGTCAGGTTTGCCTGAACTTGTGCTTCAATCATGCAGCCTAGGCCTAGGCTAATTTATTAGCGTACCATGGTCCCCCATAGTTTTGGTGCTGTCCATGCACACATTGCTATTTTTCCCAGTGCTCAAGGAGAGTTATACTTAGGACAATTATAACCCAGAGACTATGGGTGGATGCAAATCAGGAAACTCCTAAGATCCCTGACCCTGAGGATTAAAGGAAGGTATTTATGGGCTAACTTTGGTTTCTGGGCTATCGCTCCATCATGAACAGAGCATAATTACTGAATGAATTTGATAGTATACAGTATAACAGACTGATACACTTTGCGTAGTCATGGTATGCTTACATATGTAGAGGGTACAGAATACATAGAGCATTTCTGTATTACTTTTATACTTTCTCCTTACACCTTTTCTCTGGGAAAAGCAGATCAAACTTTTATTTATTTATTTATTTGACTGGAGCTCATGTAACTAAAATAGGTCTCAAACTGAATATGTAGCCAAGAATGACTTCGAACTTCTGATCCTCCCGTCTCTACATCCCAAGTGTTGGGATGACAGGCATGTGACACGAGGCATAATTTTGAATCTTTAAAAATAACATTTTGCGGATGTAGGAACTTCATTTCAGGGAAGCTCCGAAAGTGAGTGGCTTTGCTGGAGATCAGCTGTCAGGTGAGGTCAGTACCAGGTCTCATCTCACCTGAGGGACTGATTTCTACATTTCCCCATTGTCTACGAGCAAAGGGTGACTCGGTGGTGAAGTAATTCTCTGGGGAAGCATGACCAATTTCCCTTCCTCCACATTCCTCTCTTCCTCTGCCCCTCCCTGCCAGACCCCTTATATACAGTTCTCCAAGCCTCTCTTGCCTGTACACACTCTTACTTTTGGAATCACTTCCACCACTGAGACAGGAGCTTTCTAAACCCACAAGAATACCCTCTACCAACGAATGCTGAGAGAGCTTGCCCAACTTTTCCCGACGCAGAAAGAACCATCCGCTTTCAAACAGCAGCCTCCAGCATCATTTCGGGACCTGAGGTGAGATGTGGTGTTTCCCATAGCCTTTGCTCTCAAGTTTTAGGCTGAAGCCTTGTTTGGGAATGAGGGCTTAAGGGCAGACTGGCACGTATCAGCCTTTTGCATGTTTATATAAGGCAATACCTGAATGAGGAGTTAGCTATTCCCACTAAACACCAAGGAGAGTTGGTGTTAGATGGGAGGAAGGTCAGGCGGATGATAGACCCAGAGATGAATGCCAAGAGAAGTTGGGAAGCCCATAGCATTTGGAAGATGAGAATGGGCTCTGGCCTTGGGTACCTGCTCCCTATCCTAGGTGTTCAAGTTCATTCCAAGGCTTGTTCCTCTGCCCTCTCTGCCGTTCTGGGGTTGGAAGACAGTTTCTTCAGGTGTGTGAATAAGAAGGCTTTTATATGGGGGAGGGGAGAGGAAAGAGAAGAAAAACAAAGACCAAGGGTGGCATGGGAAAAAATCTCCTGTGGTAGTCATGGAGGCACGGTGCTGACTCCTGCTTGGGGGCCTGCCACACTCATTCCCATTGGCACTTCAGAGAAGCGTTTTGAAACTGACTCACCTGGAACTCACAGGCCTCTTTCTGGTTTCACTTACTGGAAAGATCAATTGTTAGAGTTAGGAGTGCGTCTGCCAACTGAGATGGCAGAGTTGACTGCCTGACCCAGACTTGCCTTCTGTGCCTCTCCCTGTGGGCCTTGGTTGACCCTGGGCTCCCTTGTGTTGAGGTGTGAGGGCTGCTTGCCTCCTGGAAGGAGAAATAGATCTGCTTAAGTCGTCCCAGTGACTCCAAGGCAGGTCCTAGAAATCAAAGGACCAAGTGAGCTCTTCCTCTTCCCGAGTTTGGGGCCTCTTGTGTCCTAGCCGAATCCTTCTTCCTCCCTCCTGGCCTCGTTTCTGTTGCTGGGCGGGAGAGCCATGATAGAGAAGGAAGGGGATGCGGGTGTGTGGGGGTGGATGAGTATGGTGACGGGGGGCACAGAGGTGGCAGCACCAGCAGCTACGAGATGGGGGTGACAAGTTCCAGGCTCCACTCCAGAACACCCTGCAAGGCTTGCGGTGTTCTCGCCTGGGAACCCTCTTGTCTTAGGACCTGTTCTGTTCCATCAGAACATCAGACATGGAATAGTTTATGAAGAAAAGATGTTTGTCTCACCGTTCTGGCAAGTTTACTATCAGGGGTGGTGTTTTCTCGGTTCTTTGGGTTGATAATCCTGAGCACACTCGCATAGTCCCGGGCAGTGCCTGGTGTCACGTGGTGTGAAGGCAGAGAGGAACTGACTTTGACTAAACCCACTCTAACGCTATCCCATTCATGAATTCATTCAAGAAGGCAAAGATGTGGTAACCCATCCCCTCTTAAAAGATTCTGCCTCTACTTAGCATTTCTCTAGCCTCAGGCATCCCATTTGTGTGCTCCTGATGGTGGCTTATATCAACTCCGGAATGATATTTGGGGGTTTGAAGGTCCCAGGCAGAGGTTGGCTTCAGGTTAACATCTCCTTTCCTTCAGCAGAAGCACCTGCCCTTCGACACAGATGAGCTCAGCACGACAGACTCTCTCCTGCCTGAGCCTCCTTCTTCTTGTCTGGAACCAAGTGCCAGGGCTCCATGGTCATGAGTTTCGATTTGGGCCTTGCCGAGTGGAAGGGGTGGTTCTCTCAGAACTGTGGGAGGCCTTCTGGGCTGTGAAGAACACGTTGGTGAGTAGAGGCTTGCCCTGGATCCTTCCCTGGCGCGTCCCCCGTAGGGGAAGTCGTGTCTTTAGGGCTCTGGATCCCTTCCCAGCTCTCAGAATCTATTTCACACATCAGAACTCTGATGAGGTCAGGAGGCTGCAAACACCAGTGCTATCCATGAGGAAACTGACTGCTCAGCCATGTGTGGCCGGCCTCCAGTGAAAGAAGCAGAGCCCAGGGGCAATAAAGTGGCCCCTGAGTGGTTCAGCTTCATGCTGGGCGGGCTCCAGCTCCAGGTTTAAGAAGCAGGATGAGAGGCCGAGCTTTGGAGAGTTCTCTAAGAGCAAGAGACAGCTCCTAGGTGTAGCCACCTGCTTCCATCTTCTTTCCAGGTGAACCACAGAGACGAACCTTACCCTCTGTGGCCTATAAAGTCAAAAGGCTTATTTCCGTGTGCCTCATTTGAAGCAAATATCCCGTTTCAAGTCTGTGGTTAGGCTCTAAGGACTCCTGGCGGTCCACTTGTCCCTTTGGAATGAGTAAGCTTAGTGGTTTTCTGTAGACAGATCTGTACCTCCTCCTCAGGAGCTAACTCATTCTGTCTCTTCCTGGGTCCTCCTCTGGTCCCTCTGACCTCCAAAGTCTTACAGATGGGACAGAGTTTGGAGCCAATCTTGCTGATTGGCTCCTGTGCTGATCCCTAACCTGGAGACATCTTTTCTTTCTGTTCCCAAAGCAAACTCAGGATAACATCACAAGTGTCCAGCTGTTGAAGCCACAGGTTCTTCAGGATGTCTCGGTAATAAGATGGTGGGGAACAGGATTGCTCTCCAAGAGGGTCTGATGGGAGTCCTTCCTTTCTGCTCTGAAGGGGCCCTACATTGGACAGGGTAGGGCATGAGACAGGGTGTCCCTCTCTGGGGTTATTACTCTGCGGGTGTGGGGAAGGCTGGGGATTGAAGTTCACAAACATCATTTCCCACTAAGCCAGACACTTGCCAGCCATCTTTCTTTTGCTCATGGAAGCACAGTGGGCAGCCACAGAAGCGAGCTGGTGTTTCACCTCCATCTTTTTCCCTCACCTGATACCACCTTCTCGCCACATGTATAGAACAGCTGTTCTCAACCTGTGGGTCATGACCTCTTTGGGAGTCGAATGGCCCTTTCACAGGGGTCACCTAAAACCATCTGGAAACACAGATATTTAATTATAATTTGTAACAGTAGGAAAATGACAGTCGTGACGTAGCAATGATAAATCTGTGGTTGGGGGTGGGGTTCAACACAACACGAGGAACTGTGTTAAAGGGCTGCAGCATTAGGAAGGTTGAGAACCCTTGGTCTAGACAGTGTGTGAGTATGAATAGACTGAATCCTGAGAGGTGCCAAGCTTCTGGAGCAGAGAGGGCCAGGTAGTGCTTGCTGTATTCAAGGGCATCAGGTTTTCTCACTCTCCTCCTTCCGACTCTCAATCCCACAGTCCAAGTTCAAATGCTTTCCCATGATTCATCATGTTAATGAGGCCATACAGTAGAGGAGAAAGGGAGTATCATCCGGGGGAGGGGATGAGCCAGGAGGCCTGGGAGCCAGGCTAGCATCTGGGATGGCTGAGTTACCCTGGGTGGGTAACTTCTTTCTAGGGTCTGGGTTCCTGTTGTGACTCTCAAGTTGCTCCACAAGACTCATGCTGTCCCTTCATATCTGTCTGGTGCCACCATCATCTCAAGGAGACCCTATGGTGTTCATCTTGCTTTGAGTGGTGCATGGGTTTTCCCTTTAGGGTCATGATGGAAGAGACCTCAGTGATTTGGTTCTTCCCCAGGATGCTGAGAGCTGCTACCTTGTCCACAGTCTGCTGAAGTTCTACCTGAACACTGTTTTCAAAAACTACCATAACAAAATAGCCAAGGTCAAGATCTTGAAGTCATTCTCCAGTCTGGCCAACAACTTTATTGTCATCGTGTCAAAACTGCAGCCTAGTGTGAGTAGATCATGTCTGGAGCTGGGAAATGATGCGATTGAAAGGTTGCCTCTCCCTCAAGGCAGCCCTGGCTTCCGTTACCAATAAAGAGTCCTTCGTGTCATGGAAAAGGGTTGTAGGCTCACGCCTCTATCTGCTGTCATCTAACAGGGAACCCTCGCAAGGTGCTCAGCTTCTCTGGGCTTCAATTTTGTTATCTGTAAAATGGGGTGACACTTCTTCCTGTAGACATTGCTGTGAGGAAAGGTACAGCCCTGTTGTATGCTGGGAATCTGGCTCTGGCTTCCTTGAGAATGTGGGACTCAGCACAGTCCTCACAGGATCTGGGAGCCCCACCCTGGTATCACCAGGAAGAGCAGGAGGGGTGAACCTCTACTCTGATCTAAATTTAGGAACATTTTTTTTTCTGATATGCAGAAGGAGAAGGACATGCTTTCCATTAGTGAGAGGGCACACCGGCGGTTTCTGCTGTTTCGTAGAACATTCAAACAGGTAAGGATAGGAGCTGGGAGTCTGCCTGCTTAACCAGCTAGCTTGAACTGTCCCAGGGGAGTGCCCCAGAGACTCTTGGATGCAAGTGCCTCCTTTGGGCTCGTCCCAGACCCACCCGACCTGGGAGGAAGACAGGCATATTTGCAAAACTAAGCATTTACTTTGCCAAAGTGTTCTTTATTCCTGTTAGTTTTCAGATGGAAATGCCACTGCATTTCCTTACAAGGTGTCTGCCCCAAGAGAAAGTTTTACAAGCACCTAATATCAGAATTGAGAAGGAAGGTGGACAACTCACCTTCCAATACATCTGCATCATTTCTGCAGTGTTCAAATGGCTCATGTGAATAAAAGATGCATCTTTCTAAATTAACACACCAAAGAAAATCCAGATCTCAAGCCTGGTACCCTCACCCGCAGAGAAAATATCCTTGGTTTTGACCACTTTGCAGCAGAGCAGATACACCAGTCTACCAGTGGGTGCAGCACATCTTCCGTAGGCTGCACCCTCTTATGTTCCGGGAGCCATGATCTTCTCTGGCCCTTTACCTACTACTCAATATCCACCTTCCCTCACCCTGGAAACAAATGCACACAGATAGGGCCCAAGCGACGGGTGGATCCATTTGCCAGAGGCCATTCTCCAGGCGATTCAGCTAAGTTAGAGTCGGGTGCCCTCCAGGCAAGCCAGGTTCGAAGGAAACTATTCTCAAAGCCAACATTGCTGACCTCCAACTCTCCATTCGCTGCAGATGGGCACAGAAGCAGCTTTGGTGAAAGCCGTTGGGGAAGTGGACATTCTCCTGACCTGGATGCAGAAATTCTACCAGCTCTGACTGTCTATCAGGCTGACCTCCTGCTTGCTCTCCATGCGTCTTCAAACCGTCGTTTACTCCCATGCTGTCCTCAGGGTACTTCGGACTCTTGCCCACGGACTGACTCAGGCATCTCTACAGACATCTTTCCTCGGCAGTCCCAATGGCTGCCTTTATACTGTGACTAACCCACAAGGTGGATTTGCGTATTTATTACAACTTTATTTAACCATTGCCACGGCATCAGTGGAAACCATATTTATTTGTGAGACTGGAAGTTCCATGAAAGCAGAAGAATGATGCACCCCATGCTTCCACCATATTCCCTGTGGTCTGGCTACAGCATGGGGCCAGTGGGTGGTTGCTCAGTAAATGTTTAGACTGGATTGCTTTTATTTATTTATTTTTGTCTGTTTTGGATGGCTGGGAAACAATGAGTGATGATGGGTTATGAAACTAAACTTTAGTGCCTGGAAACCACACAGGGACAGAGGGCTGGGATGGAAATGAAGGGCCACTGATTTGAGATTTTATGTATTTTTATGTGTATGGGTGTTCCCCCCCCCCCAGCCCCGTATGTGTGTGCACTGCATGCAGTACCCTTGAAGACCAGATGAGGGCATCCGATGCCTGGGTCTAGAGTTAAAGGCAGTTGTAAGCTGCCATGTGGGTGATGAGGATCCAGCCCAGGACTTCTGGAAGTGCTCTTAACCTCTGAGCTGTTGCTCCAGCTAGGGCCACTGATTTGAAGAATAAACGATGAAAGCTACAACGTAGGCTAAAACAAAGCAGATTCACCCCAGATACTTCATCTTTTCCTTGATTCTCCACCCATCCCACCCCGATTTCTCTGAGTACCCCTCTTTTCTTATGATACCATTCTTCCTGTCTAATGCGATGTATTCAGCTGACAGTGACATTGTACCTGTGTGCGCTGTTCAGTCTGAAATGGCATTCCTTGCTAAGAAAGGCGACTCAACTCAGATAGCCACTCCATTCTATTTCTAGAAAAATGTCCAGGGAGCTTACACTGTGCATCTGGGAAAGGCCTTCTTCTCAAAGGCAAGAGCTGGCATATTCTTGCCTCATGCTGTGGCTGAACTCTGCAGCTGATGTCAATTCCAGAAATGGCTGGCTCCAACCCCACTCTGAATGTCAGACAAGCAGCTTGCACAGAGGTGGGATTTCTCTTTTTCCGTGCCAGAAATGCTAGTGCATACCCCTTGAACTTGTGGGATCCCCCAGTGTGCTTTTCTCCAATGTCTTGCCATGAGTCATCTAAAATTGACAAGGAAATGGGTGCATTTCTGAAAGCAGAGAGAGGTGATAGTTTGGCTAAAATTGATCAAAGTGATGGTACTAAGATGTAGAAGAAGGTATGGAGATAACCAAGACTTCTAAAAGGAGAGAGATGATGGGGTCAGGTTATCTACACTAAGTGATGGAGACTGAGAGAGAGAGAGAGAGAGAGAGAGAGAGAGAGAGAGAGAGAGAGAGAGAGGAGAGAGAGAGAGAGAGAGAGAGAGAGAGAGAGGGAGTATCCCTAACACTAACAAAAGCTTAGTTCCAAAACTCTAATAAGTTATCATACCACATGAGTTGCCCTTGCCATGGCACTCAAGAAAAGTAGAAGCTCATTATGCCCTTTGGTTCAGGACCTGAAAATGTCAGCCAGGCTTGTGTTCCAGTCTGATGCCACCTGAGCTAGGGGTAAGGCAGCAAAGACTATGCGACCAAAGACAGTGATGAAGCACCTTATAGGTCCCATGGGCTGTTAGATGGTACAGAAAGGACAGGTGCCATCATGACAGATGACTGCCATGCATGTCCAGGACTCTCTCAATGAATGCAGGGGGCTTCAATGGGGTGAAAATAAGCTTGTAATAAGGCCATTCTCAAGGCATTCAGATAGTCAGGCAAGAATCAAGTTGGGGTGTTGGACATGGGAGGTGGCAGGGATCCCATAACAAATGGGTAGGGGCTAGACATCAGCAGACAGGCAGGACTCATCGGCATGAAGGTCTGGGCCCACTGGGGAGATGACGTGGGCCAGGAATATTGATGTAATCATCTGAACCCGTGTCTTCCACGTAGACAGCAGACTGGTGGCACAAGGTCACATATTCACAGCTTGTCTTCAGAGGTGGGGTGTGGGACCAGGAGGCTTCAAGTACCTGGGAACAACCAAAGGAGTGTCAGTCGCTCTGGCTGGGTGATCCTAGCATCTGTTTAGGTGGCAATGGGAGAACCTGGACACAGTTGCTGAGTTCCAGATGGCAACGATGCAGAATTGAGTGAACCCCATTAAGTGGGCCAGCCCCATTTTCAGGGCGCAGTCTCGTCCCCAAACCCCTGTAAACTACTTTACTCTAATGTGGGCAGGATATGCTTTACATGGGGTTCAGACTGCAGTCAAAGGGCTGAGCACGAGTGTGAAGGGGGCCCACCTGCAGAAGCCTCCCCTTGGGGAAAAAGGGATATGACTTGTAGGAAAAACATGTGTCTTCTCCGGCAACTATTCAGACATAGGGTGAGTCACTTCTTAAGCCTCTGCAGGGACTTGGAGAGGCCATGGCACGGCACAAGAGTGCATTCCAGAAAAGGGCTGGGGAGCTGAGGAAGGAAGACTGAAGGTCATGTGGGCACCGGGGTGCCTCTCTCTGCCAGACAGAAGCTTCAGGACTCCCCCTTCGTGGCAGCTAGTTCTCAGAAGACAAGGCGCTGTCAAGACTCCAACACAGTACGAGTACTGTAATAGCTGCCCAAGAATGCCTCGGCAGACACTGTGGTCAGTCATCTGAAGTTCTAAGAACTGGAAGGACAGCTCTTTGAATGCAGGAAGCGTCTGTTAAAAAGAACTTCTACATTTTATATTTTACTGAAGACAGACAGACAGACAGACAGACAGACACACACACACACACACAGAGAGAGACAGAGACAGAGAGAGAGAGACAGAGAGAGAGAGAGAGCAGAAGCTTGCTTCGAAGACACATCTCCCACTGATGGCAACTTACTTGGTTTAGACAATAAAAGTATTCACTATGGGGCTGGAGAGATGGCTCAGAGGTTAAGAGCACTGACTGCTCTTCCTGAGGACCCAGCTTCAATTCCCAGCACCCACACGGCAGCTCACAACTGTCTGTAACTCCAGTTCTAGGGGATCTGACACTCTCCTGCAGACATTAGCAGGCAATACAGCAGTGCACTAAAAATAAATAAGTTAAAATTTTTTCACTATGAAGACTGAAATAAGACATTGAGCATATGTACCCTGTAAACGTGTTCTGTCAAGATTTTTTCACCCTAATTGAGAGAAGGAGGGTCTCACAGAGGAGGGCAGGGTTCGTATGATCACAGGGCAGATCCACGGGGAAAGACTGGCTTTTGGGTAGAACAGACAAGCTTCACTGGGACATTCATCCCAAGCCTTGGGGACTGCTCTGGGGGCTTATATGGGTAAGAAGACAGTCAAGAGGCTGGAGGTGACTACGGGGTTTCTCCCCTTTTTAGCCAGATACATGATCATGTAATCAATGTATTGCTAACCAGGCACCACATTCACAACCTCCCTTGAAGGCAGATGTGTCTGCAAGACAGCTAATGGGAGGCAAGCAGAAGTGAAATATGAAAATCCGGGGTCCTGGCCAGAAAGAAGCCATTTTTCCCCTGTAGGTAGAAATAAGAACTTGGTTTGGTGGCTGAATACTGACCATGGAAGTTTGTTGAGAAGCAAAAAAAAGTCACTGGATGACGTCATGGATTAAGCCACTTCTTCAAGTCCCTCTGGTTTGAACCTTGACGTCAGAGGAAAACTGGCCTCCATGTCCTGAGCTCTGAGATTTTTAGGTCTGTTGTATTTAACACACACACACACACACACACACACACACACACACACACACGCTTGGTGTCCTTATTAGTATTTTTCTGGCTACAAAACCCAATGCTTTAGACGTTGAGAATACTTAAAGAATCTTTCCTTACTTTGGAAGAACAAAGGACACACCTGTAGTGTTTCAACGTCTGCATTTCTGACCAATCACTTTGAATAAAACCTAATGGCCACGTTACTATTACCTCCTCTCATTTTAAGAGTTGTATCGAATGTTCTCCCTCACACTGCGGTAAAACTGTCGGGGTAGCTTCCATTCTCTCTAGCCTTCTAGAAACGCAAGTGTCCCTTTTACACCATGATCACAACACTTTATCATTGCATCAACATTCATGTATCCCAAGAGAAATGCTTGGTCCGGTAAGTAAGGTAAACAGTTCGTGTGGAGTCAGCCTTCTGAGGGTTTCCAGGTAGGAACCGGATATAGCCGGTTGAGGGACCCACCCCAGACTATGAGCACGCTTGCCGGGTTGAGCTCAGGTCACCGGCTGGGGCGGGTGGAGCTTACCTGACATGGGTCCCGGGGTGCTGAGGCTGGGGCACTGTGGAGCGAAGCCTCTGCAGAGCCTAGAGGGCAGAAGAAAGCGGTGAGGGCCGGGCCTCTCCAGGCTTGGCCACCACCTGTCCCCTGTGGCCCCGCTGCAGCCGCTTTTCACGCTTCACTCGTGCTTGAGCTCACCCTCTCCGTCCGGCATCGGTGCACGCCGCGGGCAGGCGCTGTAGACGTTGTTCTGGGAGCGAGGTCTCTGTGGGGCACCCCGGCGCTGTGCGGGGAGCCGGCGGGACGCCTCCTGGCCTCGAATCCTCATTGCCACTCGGCCCATGCGCCTGGAGAAGGCTTCATGCAGGAAGTCACCGGGAAGAGAGAAGGACATGACATCAGACGCCTGTGGCCCCCTGCGTCTCCTTTCCCCCAAACTGAGGGCTGCACACCTCTCTGATGCCTGGCAATGTGTGACCCATGTATAGATGCCCAGGTGCTGAGCGCAGGAGGAAGGACAAAGGCTTCCCAGGCGCCATCTCCCGTCTAGGTTTTCTGGGGGTTCAAGCTGGATTTGAATGCTCTGGTCTCTTTGGGTATCTTAGCTGTCCCAACCAAAGGCCAGAGCTTCGAGCTACTTACCTTTCCTCCTAAGAATAGCTCTTTTTGCCACCAGGCCCAAGAGAACCAGCAAGAGAAAGCCCAGGAAGGTCGGAATCAGGATGTGAAATTCTAGGACGGGGATGTGAAGTCCTTGGTTCTCTCTCCCATACTGTGGGCTGTGGTGGAGTGTTCTTGGCCGGAAAAGAAGCAGAGAGAGGGAGAAAGAGAAGGTTAATAAGGAAAGGAAAATTTAAAGACTCACCCATGCATGGCCACCTTTTTTGGAGATGACTTAGAGTTGACCCTTTGTGAACAAAATCCCCTCCGTCACCCTCCCCCAAGAGATTTGTTAATGGGGTCAAAGTCAAGTTCTGCATTTTACTGGTTATGTGTTCTTGAGTGAGTCTTAATTTTCCTGAGTCTTATTTCCCTATAAATGTGAACCATAAAACGAAACTGTTAGGACTACGAAACACAGGAGGTATAAAGACTTGGAGGAGCCTGGTCTGTAGCAGTTTCTGAATCAGCTCCTGTTCTTGTCGTTAGAGACCTTCCACAGGCCGACTGGCATTAACCAGACCTGGACATACCACGTGTTTATCTTTTTAACATCTTAAAGACGACATGATGCCAGGCACATAGTTGACATAAAGAAAATATTTATTACATGGACTTCTGAATTCGGAATCAAGAGTCCTGTCTTCATTCAAATCACTTAGATTTAATTGTCCCAGCCCCATCACTTATAGGATTCAAATGATTCTGCAAATCCTTTTTTTGCTCAGGCTTTAAAATACTTGTGGGCTTTCTTGGGCATGGGCTGTAGTGCTGCCCCCTAGTGGTTCATTTAGGTCCGATGTTTAGGACAATGCTGAGCAATAGAAACATTTGTCACATACAGAATTTAAATTCTGTTAGCAGCACTAAAAAGGAAAAGAAAAAATGAGAGCAATTTTAACACTTATTAATTAGTAATTAATTTTAATCACCTTAAATTAATTAAAAGTTCGTCTCGTTTACTTATTCATTACAACAGACCTGAATGAATATGTATGGTTGAAAGACCCAAGTCTTTCTATCAGGTCAGAAATGGCTGTTGGCAAGCGTATTCTTTGTTGATGAGACTAATGCATTTATACAGCACAGTCAAAAACAGAGCATTTCTCAGTGGACTCCTGCAGACAAAGTCAAGAAGGGGGCAGACTGACTTCAGGATTCTTAGCACACAGGCCCTAAACAAACTCTTACCTTTACCATTACTACTACATGAAAGACTCACCTTTGGTCGTGAAGTTTGGTGTGGTGGCTGTAGCTGGCCCCTAGGGGCCCGATTGCTTGCTGAACTGAGGTCTTTGAGGATGTGGTAGCTGGCAGGGGGGCAGGGGACTTGGCAGCTGTCACTGGAGATGTTCTGGAAACCCTGGGATGGGAGGTGACTGGAATGGTGCTGGAGTGCTGGTGAACTGGGCCCTCAGTCCTTGGAGCGGACGTGGTAACTTCAAGAGCGAGAAGGGAAAGGTAACATTAGTGACAAACCCTGTTCTGCAGCCTGCAGGAGGAGCGGGTCTCTCTTCCTCACTCAATCATGTCTTCCCTTTTGCCAGTATGTACTAGCTTTGTTCTCGTGGTCTGACATGCCTTCATAGCGCGCCATCTACACATTCATGCATGCTGCCTTCAAATAACATTTTCTCCAGCAAGGCATTCCCGACTCCACAGGCGGAAGCACTTACTGAGCACTGGGGTGGGGGTGTGGGGTGTGGGGTGTGGGGTGTGGGGATGTGGATGTGGATGTGGGGTGTGGGGTGTGGGGTGTGGGGATATCGGGTGGGGGTGTGGGGATGTGGATGTGGGGTGTGGGGTGTGGGGATGTGGGGTGGGGTGTGGGTGGGGTGTGGGTGGGGTGTGGGGTGTGGGGTGGGGTGGGGTGTGGAGTGGGGTGTGGGGTGGGGTGTGGGGTGTGGGGGTGGGGTGTGGGTGTGGTGTGGGGTGTGGGTGTGGTGTGGGGTGTGGGGTGTGGGGTGTGGGGTGGAGTGTGGGGTGGGTGTGGGGTGTGGGGTGGGGTGTGGGGTGTGGGTGTGGGTGTGGGATGTGGGTGTGGGGTGTGGGGTGTGGGGGTGTGGGGTGGGGTGTGGGGTGGGGTGTGGGGGTGGGGGATGGGGTGTGGGTGTGGTGTGGGGTGTGTGGTGTGGGGTGTGTGGTGTGGGGTGTGGGGTGGGGTGTGGGGGTGGGGATGGGGTGTGGGTGTGGTGTGGGGTGTGTGGTGTGGGGTGTGTGGTGTGGGGTGTGTGGTGTGGGGTGTGGGGTGTGGGGTGGAGTGGGGTGGGTGTGGGGTGTGGGGTGGGGTGTGGGGTGTGGGTGTGGGTGTGGGTGTGGGTGTGGGGTGTGGGGTGTGGGGTGTGGGGTGGATGGGGTGTGGGGTGGGGTGTGGGGTGGGGTGTGGGGTGTGGGTGGGGTGTGGGGTGTGGGGTGGGGTGTGGGGTGTGGGGTGGGGTGTGGTGTGGGGTGTGGGTGGGGTGTGGAGTGTGGGGTGTGGGGTGGGGTGTGGGGTGTGGGGTGTGGGGTGGGGTGTGTGGGGTGGGGTGTGGGGTGTGGGGTGGAGTGTGGGGTGGGTGTGGGGTGTGGGGTGGGGTGTGGGGTGTGGGTGTGGGATGTGGGTGTGGGGTGTGGGGTGTGGGGTGGGGTGTGGGGTGGGATGGGGTGTGGGGTGGGGTGTGGTGTGGGGTGGGGTGTGGGGTGTGGGTGGGGTGTGGGATGTGGTGTGGGGTGTGGGTGGGGTGTGGAGTGTGGGGTGTGGGGTGGGGTGTGGGGTAGGGTGTGGGTGGGGTGTGGGGTGTGGGTGGGGTGTGGGGTGTGGGTGGGGTGTGGGGTGTGGGGTGTGGGGTGTGGGGTGTGGGGTGGGGTGTGGGGTGTGGGGTGTGGGGTGGGGGTGTGGGGATGTGGAGGGATGTGGAGGGGACGTGGGGGCGGGGAGTATATCTTACTTTTCTATGCTCATCTATCCTCCCCATCCCATCCCGGTCAGCCACACTCTCAGATCTATCATCTGTCCCAGAAGATCTGTTTCTCTTGGCTCAGCAGGCTCTCCTAGTGCAACAATGTTCAATTAGTGTGTCTAACTTACGTGGTGTATGTTAAGATACGATGGAAACGCTATTATGGCAGTCATCTTTTAATTGCCAAATAGAGTTGTTAAAATCACTAGCTACCAGCCGACAGAAGAAATCCCTGCAGGTAGCAAGAAGCATAATGACCTCCAGCTGGGAAACAGCTGCCATTCCCAGTCATTCCAAAAGTACTGGCGATTGTGAACTGGGCGCCTTGTTACTTTGCTTTGGTGCCACCTGGTGGTGACATGTGACGCCTCCAACTACAGCCTGGTGCCCTACTTGTAAGACGAAGGGCCTCTCTTAAGGCAGGGGCAAAGCATGGGAAACCCATTTCTGCTTTGCCAGTCACTCTTTGAGGTGAAAAAAAAACCCTCCCTCTTCTTCTGATCTTGATTTGATGGACTGACCTTCAGATGTGAATTCAGAAGGACTGTCGTGTTCAACCTCATGGAACCAGGGGGGTATATGCTCTTGCAGAAATCTGTGAAACCACGGTGGAGGCTCAGGGGTAGGCTCGTCTTCCCAGAATGGTTCATATTCTATTGGAGGCAAGAGGGATATACTGGCGATCACCAGGGAGGTTCATGTAGAAGGGGATTCAAACAAGGCCATCGGGAGATGGGCATGGTCCCCTGAGGCAAGCAGAAAAGGAACTGGCCTTTCCTGCCAGCACGTGCAGCATTCCCTACGAGACCACAGGCTATTGGGATTATAAACTGCTGAACACTCATGCACGTGCTGGGAAGCCACTGAAAAGGGGAAATGTCAGGGGTAAGAAGAAATGAAGGACCTGACCATACAGTAACAAGTTTGGACTAGATATGGCTTGAGTCTCCTTTTCATCCACCCCAGACATCTCATGAGATGATTACACAGGACAGTCATGGCCCTTCTGGTTTCCTCAGCCTCAAAGCCTATCCTCAGGCTAATGTCCCCTCTCCACTCACGCCCTGGGTTCCACAGGCAGCACACAGCATTCATCTTATTCCTTTCTTTCCCTGTGGATAGAAGGTTCTACGCTGGGGTGTTAGCCTCAGGCTGCGTTGATTTGCATTGTTACTGGGCTGCCTAGCACAACAGTTGCATGGGGGCAGTTACGGTTAGAAAATTGCCTCGGTTTCCCCAAAGGGGAATGTTTTCCAAACACCTACCATCGTGGACATTCAGGGTGATTTTCTGGGTCTTGCCCAGGTCTGTGTGCAAACCCACACCACAGGCATAGACTCCATTGTCACTTTCGGTCAGCTGTGTCATCTCCACCAGGAACAGCTTCTTATCCAAACATGGTGTTAGGGTGACTCGTGTTTTGTATTCCTTCTTGACAAAGATGTTGGACACCACAGTGGTACATATTCTGGGGTCAGTCATCTGCCGGCACAGATACATCCTCACATCTGTCTGAGGGAGTGGGCACTGGATGGTGATGGACCCGCCCGACTCTGCATCCAGCTGTACTTCTGGGAGGACCTTCAGGGTCCCAGACACTGCAAGGAAAAGAAACTAATGCGGAAGGAGCCCCGTATTCAGATGCATCTCAACTTCAGCCACACCCTCAATCTCAGGCCATCTCTCCAAACCTAGCGCTGACCCCAGACCACCTCACACTCACCACTAGATCTAGCCATGTCCCTGTCACTAGCCCAGCCTCAGCCCTATGATGATCTTTGCCCGCTTTCCAGTTTCTTCAAGGTCCTATTCTTTCTCATTCAAGCTTACTCTGTGCTCATCCAGGTCCTCAGCATCAGCCTCATCATTAACCCTGAGGCTGTAAGGACTTAGATACAACTACAGTGCCCGGAGTAAGCCCCGATGACACATTACCCTCAAGTGGCTTCAATATGGGGTGAGGAAGGTATCACATTCTTGTAGCTCATTTCCCTTCCAGGATCCTTTCCCCTCAGATCCTTTAATCTACCTAGTCCTCCTTTCAACTCCATCAAACCATTCAACCAGCACACACTGGACGCCTTTTGTGTGTATCCCTCTACCGTACAATAAATCGTGTGGTAAATTATCCCAACAGACAGCTTCTACGGCACAATGTAATAGATTCCACGAGAGAACCAGCAAACAGGAGCACCCAGTTCAGGATACCAAGGGGATGGTTTCCCAGGAGGAAGGCTTTCATAGAAGTGATGTCCACGCTGTACCCTGAACCAATGGGCAGGAAGGGCAATGAGAAGGCGATATTAGCCACTAGTGTAGAGAACTCATGGGAGGGAAAGCAGGGCACGTGTGAGTGTGAGTGTGCATGTGTAGGCATGGACATACGTACGTCTGGGAGGGATAGATCAGGGAGGAGTAGAATTTGTGGGCCATAACAAGCAGGCGGAGAAGAGGATAGTGTAATTTGACCTGCTACAGGAGAGGGTAAAGCCACAGATGACAGTGTAAGCAGGCCCCAGCAAGTGCCTCCATACACTGAGAAAAGGGTTGTCTTAGTTACTTTTCTGTTGCTGTGACAAAACACCACGGCCAAGGCAAATTATAAAAGAGAGCATTTAATTAGGAGCCCACGATTTCAGAGGGTTAGAGTCCACGACCATCTTGGTGGTGGAGACATGGCATCAGACAGACAGGAGGCATGGTGTTGCAGCCGTAGCTAAGAGCTTACATCTTGATCAGAGAGAGAGAGAGAGAGAGAGAGAGAGAGAGAGAGAGAGAGAGAGAGAGAGAGAGAGAGAGAGAGAGAACAAACTGAAATGGTGTGGGATTTTGAAACTTCAAAACTCACTCCCAGTGACACACCTCTTCAACAAGGCCACGCCTCCTAATCCTTCCCAAATGGTCCCACCCAAGTGTGGACCAAGCATTAAAACGTAAGAACCTGTGGGGGCCATTGACAGGGTAAGGTGTGCATGTGTGTGTTTAGGTGGTTCAGATGACAAGAACCAGCTGTATCAAGATGGGGATGTGAGAAAGAACACATCATGGAAATCTGCCAGCTTACCGATGTTTATCTACAGACTGTGCATTCTGAGTAGCTCCAATGAGTTTAGTCAAATGAGAGTTTAAAAAAACTAGAATGTCAGTGGGCTCGAGGCTTTTAGATTAGGATATTTCTGGTAGAGGGGAGTATTGAGGCATAGAAAGGTGGGAAAAATGGGAGAGAGATGGAGGTCAGGAGAGGGTGGAGAAAGACTGGAAAATATGCACAGGGAATGTTGAGGCGGGAAAGTGAAGCCATGTTAACACGCCAGAGAGAGGAAGAGGCAGAGGGGGCCAGCCAGAAGCACGTGGTCTCCTGAGAAACCCTGCAGACCACACACAAAACCCAGCACTGTTAAAGCTGTTGCCAGCAGAACTCACTCACTAGATGGTTCCCTGCTTGGACTTTGGCAATGGAAAGGTAACATATTCACAAAGTTCCAGTCAAGGGGGAAGACCTGATCTAGGGGCAAAGGGAATCACAAAAACAACCAGAATTCAGGGCAAACTATCTATCTCTATTTACAAACACAGATTTCCAAGACAGAGACAAGCCAGGTCTGATGCAGTTTGCAAATTTGAAATGCTGCTGCCCACATCATCATCCGGAGAGCTTGTTGATGCCTGTGAGCAGTCTTGTCCTTGGGCATGGCCGCTTGCTCTGTCTAGGCTGGTGTAGGGACTGCTTTTGAAAGGAACACCCCAGATGAAATTCTGGGCCATTTGAAAGTGATTCTTGGGAAGAAAGAGGAGGTAGGAGAAAGTATCTAAAGAAACCTACTGATGTGACAGTAATTAATTAACATCTAGCTTGTAATCTCTAATTTGGTGACTAAATTGCTGGCAATATTAGAGAAGGAATGATGTAGTTCGTAAAGTCATTGCCAGTACAGAGTTGGGTAAAACATGCTTGAGATGTGAATGATATCCTATAGCCTTTTTATAGTGCAAAATAAGGTGAAAAACAGAGGGCCTTGAGGGCTGAGACCACTCTAGAGATTTTTTAGGTGGGAGTGGAATTCAACCCAATCAGCAGTAGAATGTTCGAAAGGAGAGAGCAAACTGGCTTGAGGTTTGTATGTTTATCAAAAGGGCTAAGGTTATGAGTGTGTGTGTGTGTGGGGGGGGGTGTGGGTGTGGATGTAGGTGTGGGCGTGGGTGTTCTCTTTACCTGGACCTGTAGCTCACTCGTTCAACAGAAATCCTGGATATCCTGTCTCTGCCTTCCCAGCCCTGGCTCATAGATGTGTGTCACTGAACCTGGCTTTATGTGGCTGCTGTGGCTCTGAGCTCAGTTCTCATGCTTTGGGGGGAAAGCATTTTACCTCCCTCCCCAGACCCTGACTGCAAACTTCAGAATCCCTTTATGAAGGATGAGAGGGCTGGTGAGATGCCTCAGTAGGTGAAGGTATAGCTCATTGCCAACTCTGGCGACTTCCATTCCCAGTGCGCACGCGACAGAGAAAGAGAACCGACTCCTCCATGTGCTTGCTGCGGCACATGCCCCCAGACAGGCAGACCCCAAGCCAAACAAATGCAATAAAAAATGTAAAAGCATGAGAACTTTCCACCCAGTGTCCCATTTCCCTCCTCAGCGGCCTGCGTGCGTAGAGGCCTGTCAGCTGACATTAGTTCTGCCATGGGAAACAGTCCTATTTCCTCTCACAGGACGCTCCCTCGGTGCAGCTCGAGTGCACTGTTCTCTTGTTTCAGAATGTCTGACTGCAGTGATCCCCACTTTCTGATCATCACTGGCTTAGCTCATACACAAACCCTGGTATCGGCACCTTGAAGACCCCTTGGGTGATGTTTGCATCCATCTCCTCCTCTCTTTTCTGTTTGCTCAAAAGTCTCATCAAACTCATACGCACTCCTTCCGCTTCTCTTTGATTAAATTCGATCGAACTTCTGTCCCTTTAAGTCCAGCCAAACTGCTCTCATCCCAGTCAGCACAGTCGTCCATCGTTGTTGCTGCCTCTGCCATCACGTTTGTCTCCGTCTTACTGATCCCCTTGGCAGCATTTGACCCACCTGACTCCTCCCTTCGAGGGCCACTTTCTGCCCCCTGACGTCATATTTCTGCGACGTCATACTGCGCGCTGCTCCTGCGCTGGCTCCTTCCTCTCCTACTTTCCCAGCTCCATGTACCCCTCAGTGCTGGGCTCGCACACAGCTCAGTACCTGACCTATTCCCCCTGTGTCTTCCCTCCTCTTTCCACACTAGCTCATTTACTCTAGGTCCCTGTAAATACAGCTGCTGATAGATTTTTAACCAAACACACGTTGTTTCTAGTCTTGTCATTACCTCTGCGATCCAAACTGGCTCTGGCCCTTGGACTCCATTGGATACTTAAGATAATATCAAACAACAGCCAGAAGAGAACTCTTCTTAAACATGCTCACTCATAAAAGAGCTTTCCGTCTTGGGAAATAACACTACCATCCAAGTGCTGAAGGCCAAACTCATCCTTATGCTATGAGTCAAGAGTAAATTGCTGGAGGTCCAAGGAGATGGCTCAAAGGATGAAACTACTAGCCTGAGAATCCAAGCTCAGTCCTTGGAACCTATGTAAAATCCCAGATGTGTATGCTAAGATAGGAGGTGAAGAAAAAAGAATTGTCTGTCTCAAAGTATGTAGCACAGCAGCCAACAAATAAGAGATCCTGCCTTAAGTTTGTAGAAGGTACGAAGTGACTCCCCAAAATCATCCTCTGATCTCCACATACATGCTGTGGCATGTGTGCACACAATAAAAATTTCAAAAGAATAAACTTGCATATTCTCCCCTGCCATGCATGTATCACACGCATGCGCTGAGTCATAATATGTATATGTATTCTTGTTAGTGGTCTAGGTAAAACGGTTCGGAGCCCACATCCTATAATATTGCCTTGGTTTGTGAAGGAACATTCCCATAAAGCTCAATGTCTGTAGCTATACTGTGCTCTAGGGACAGGCATACCCTAACATTTGTAGGCCCGAGGGCAGTATTAACAAATAAAGGCTGACGTATCATACACCTAGTTATTCAAAGCTATTAGCAAGGGCTAGGGATGGGATGGGGGGATGCGTCTCAGTTGTTACGGTACTAGCCTAGCACACTCAGAACCCTGCGCTTGAGCCAGAGTCCTATGTAACCAGGCATGATGGCTCATGCTCATAATTCTAGCTCTTGAGATCCTCTGCAAGAGGACCAGGAATTCAAGGTCATTTTCATCTACATAGTCTATTAGAGGCCATCTGGGATACAGGAGACCTTGTCTTCAAACAAACAGACACCGAGATTAACAATAAGCTGTTCTTGAAGTATTTTGTATGTTCCTATCATGTTAAATCCATATATTCCTGCTCTGTTGCTTATGGCACAAATGATCTCCTCCGGGCAGACTCCACCAGGGACCTGCAGCTTTCCTAGTCACGTGATTTCCCCACATTTCTGGCACCCCTGGGTCTCTACGGCTTCACCTTCACAGCTGCATGCAGTGACCTCTTAGGGTCTTTATACAGAAAATGCAACCCTGCACACTTTGCCTAGCCTCGGAGGCTGTTTGGAACCTTGGTGCTGGCCTTCACCCTTGCACCTTGCCCATCTGCAAAGGCAGCTGTGTGTGGACTGGCCGCGTTCTGCTATAAGCTTGAGATGAAGGATGGTCCCTTGGACTGTCGATAGAACAGGATCTGTGTGTCTTTGAGGGTAAACCTGAGACAGTACTTTGCAAGCTAGCTTTAGTCTAGCATCATGCCTTGAAGATTCTCCTTACTTAAACTCTCTCTTTTCTAATGAAAATTTGTCAAATGAGTTTGCATCACTACACTCTCCAGTTGGGGAGATGGAATACTGCTCAAGGCGTCTTTCTTACTGTCCCATTGCAAAGTCCCAGGTTTCCCCTTGTACTGGATAGTTTTCTGTCAACTTGACACAGGCTAAAGTCATCTGAGAGGAGGGAACCGCAATTAAGAAAATGCTTCCATATGATTGGGCTTTAGACAAGTCTGTGGGGGCATGTTCTTAATTAGTGACTGATGGGGGAGGACCCAGCCCATTTGGGTGGTGCTATCCCTGGGCTGGAGGTCCTGGGTTCTGTAAAGAAAGCAGGTTGAGTAAGACAAGGAAGCAAGCCAGTAAGCAGCAGCCCTCCCCTGTGTGGCCCCTGTATCAGCTCCTGCCTCCACGTTCTTGACGTGATTAGTTCCTTCAGTGATGAACAGTGATAGGAAGTGCAAGCCAAATAATTCTTTTCCTCTCCAACTTGCTTTTTGGTCATGGTGTTTCATCCCAGCAATAGAAACCCTAAGTAGGACACTCTCTAATTGCACTAACTTCTTAAAGAATCATAGCTCTTTTTTTTTGTCTGGTCTATTTGCATCTTTAACTGAGTTCAAGCTCCTTTCTTTGCCAAGCACATTTTCCACACATTTCTGTTCTTTGTTACTATAAATCTGGGTTAACACAGTGAGCCATAACCATGTCATGGCATGAATGCTATGCAACATTTACAATTTCTGTTAAACAACTTAGTTCATTTGAATTCAGGAACATTCAGCTTATGGGGGCCCAAATGGACCACAGCCAGATTCTTTGCCAGGTTATAACACAAATGAATCCTCCTCCAAGTTCTGATGGAGTCCTTGTTCTTTGGTGAGCACAGTCTTTACTCTGCAGTGTGTGGTGTGTGTGTGAGAGAGAGTGTGTGTATGAGAGAGAGAGCATGCAAGTGTGTGGTGTGTGTGTGTGTGTGTGTGTGCTGTGCCTGTGGGGTGTGTGTGTAGCGCATGTGTGGTGTGTGTGTGTTTCTGTTCTTTTGTGCTCTCACCAGTATGGCCCAATTAACTTCTGCTTATTGCATTCTAGAACTTCTCTACATCATCCGTGTTTTAAAATGCCTCCTGAAAACTAATTCTGAAGGCCTATAAACCACAAGGTCAGATTTCTTACAACAGTAACTCCACTTCTTGGTGTACATTTCCAGTATTAGTTACTTTTCTTATTGCTGCAACAAAATACCGACAAGAAGAAACTTCAGGAAGGAAAGATCTCTTTGGGTTCACAGTTTGAGGGTACAGACCAGTGGTTCTCAACCTGTGAGTCATGACCCCTTTAAGAATTGAATGACCCTTTCACAGGGGTCACCTAAGGGCACGAAAACACAGATACTTACATTACAATTCATATCAATAGCAAAATTGCAGTTATGAAGTAGCAATGAAAATAATTTTATGGTTGGGGCCACCACAACAAGAGGAGCTGTATTGAAGAGCCGCAGCATTCAGAAGGTTGAGAACTGGTATAGACCACCATGGTATGGAAGCCGTGGCAGCAAAAAGCATGAAGCTGCTTGGTTGTATCTTGGAGTAGGATGGTGGGAGATCAACAAGGAAGATGAATTCCAGTGCTCAGCAGACTTTCTATCTTTCCTGTTTTTAATTCTGTCTATAATCTCAGCCTGTAGTACAATCCGCAGGCAAGGCGGGCCTTCTCTCTGTTAATACCTCAGCATTTCTTAGTCCAATCAAATCCTCAACAAAGCTTAACCATTGCAAAGGATATATTATTGGTAAATCAATAAGATAAGCACACTGAGCCAACATATGTGACGGTGACTGGACTCAGGAGGTGCTCGAGTGAGAGCTAAGCAGGTTTGAGAAGAACCAGTGAATGATGGTAGGCTGGGAGGATGGCGTCACCACAGCAGGGACAGTCTGAGAGAGGGCATGGTAGCGGGGATCTGCAGCATGTGTTCAAAGAAGAGCCTGTATGGCTGGAAGTGTGGTATGATTCGAATACAAGAGAGGAGAGTGATTTTAATTTGGTAGGTAGTGGGAGCCATTGAATGACATTATATGTTAGGGACAGGACAGATGAGACAGCTGGTTTCACCATGAACGGCAAAGTCTCTCAGGCAAGGCATTAGGCATGTGGAGTTCCAGATCTTGGTGATCATTCAGGTGGGGTGCCAGACAGGTGGCTGTACATTGAGATACGAAGTTTAGGGAATAGGCTACAGAGTCTTCGTTTGAACTTGATAGTTGCCAATGCAAGAGTGAGAAAGAAAGATCCAAGGAAAGGAAAAATAGATATACAAAGAACAAAGTTTGGAGATAGACACCCATCTTAAGACCTCATAAATGAATATCTAACATGCGTGACACCTTCTACCTTTAAAAAGCTAACAGCTGCCCTGGATGGAGGTCTGGAAGAAGGCTGCATGGTTGGGAGGGGCCAGCACTTCACACGTCTCCTGTTCTTGCCCTGGCTGCCACTCAATCTGCCCAGAAACATTAGAGCTGGAGGTGGCTGGCAATTGATTTCCTCTGGCTAATTCAAACCTGATAATTAACCAGGGGGAATGTTTCCCCATGGCACTCACCTGGCAGGAAGCAAAGTAACCAAAGCCAAAGGCACATGGTTCCTTCAAGGCCAGATCCCATCCAAGAGGCCCTGGAGTGTGGAGGAGACAGAGCGATCGATCGCCTTCTACAGTTGGGTGCTTGAAAGAGATTCTGTACCCCCTGAGGGGTGAGGGCTTAAAAATGAGGAAATGATAATCTGCCTTGTTTGCTTACTAGTCTTTGTCTAAAAAAGAAAACACCAGCAAACCACAGGGGAAATCAAGTGTTGAGAAAACATGTGTTACATAAAAATGGGTGCCTAGGGTTCAAAGGTCCTCTAAGAAACTCAGGACCAGGCTTCCAGGCTTCGGCACCTGTCTCAGATGGGCTCCCAGGATTTCTACGCTTTAACTGGCTTCTGAGCTAAAGTCATTTATTGTTTCTCTGTCTTTAGGACAACACAACCTCATCACCGACTCTCCCTCAACAACAAAGGCTTTGTGAACCAAAGCTTGGCTGTTGGAGTCTTAACTAGCCATCAGTTAATCCCTCCGATGGATACTTGTGGGCGTCTGCTATTTGTAGTGATATTAACCATGGATTTTGAGCAATTCACTGTTTTTCTCTGAACTTGATCTAGAGAATAAATGAAGATGAGACAACACAGCCTCCGGCATCCCACCATGAAGAGTATAATTCCGAGGT